TTCAATTTAAAACATAGAAAATATCACATTCTTGAATATGATAAAGTTTTAATTAATAAAAATTATTTTCTCATATTTTGACATTCTAGTAATCATCACCACCATCGTTTCCCCAATCATCCTCCACACGATCCGCCACGTCATCGGCAACATGGTCCTCCAGCGCATCAACGCCCTCAGCCAATGCGAGTCCACCTAACACTCCTGCAACCGCACCCACAGCCAATCCTGTCCCCATCCCACCGAATTTGCTCTTCTTCTTCTCCTCTACCGCATACCCCGGCTGCCCGGAGTAACCACTTTGCCCGTATTGCTGCCCGTATGCTTGCTGCCCGTAACTTGGTTGACCGTAGGAAGGAGCACTGTAGGGATAACCCGACGGCGGAGCAGAATAAGCCGGCATCGGCGGAGCTGCGTAGGGGTTGCCGTATGGTTGTGGTGCTGCAGTGTAGTCTCTACTCCCCGGTGGAGGGACTCCGTACGGCGCGTAGTATGGATCCGGGGCACGGTAGCGCGGCTCGCGCACGGTAACATTCACTTCCAGTTTCCCATGTGGCCGTCCAGAGGGACGCTTGAGCTCGAGCCTCTTCTCCAATCGGTTCCCAAATCCGACGTCGTCTACGACTTCCCGCAGCGGAAGCTTAGCCGAGCCGATCAGAGGCTTGGTGCCCTCAGCGGCGTTGGCGTGTACGATGTCCACGTGGAGGGTTGATTCCTCCACCGGAGAGTTGAACGGAATTACAAGCTTCTCGTTCCAGTAAGGACACGTATCGCCCTCCTCGTCGATTCTGGTGGAGCACTTGGCTTTTGGATCAACCCAAACAACGGCATATGGCTTCAGCTTGCCGTGGCGCCAGTTGACGTTCTTCAAGTCCTTGGCAGACGAGATTGTGACCTCGACTTCGTATCTAGACCCCATTTTGAACCCTTTTTTGGAGAGTAAGGAAAAATCGAATGTCTAGAAAAACGTAGAACTGAGAAACGCCGGTTGCGATTTTATAGTTTGAATGGGATGGGTGGTACAAGATTCCCCTTCAATTTTGATGTTATTGCAGATGTACCATTTTCATTCCAAAATGACCCTTATACCCTTTATCTTTTAGCCAAATATATAGTTCAATTCAGTATTTAGGGTCAGTTTGAGTCTTTTTATTTTTTTTGGAAATAATACATTTTGATAAAATTAGTTAAAAAATAATAAAAAATTTATGAATTTACGTGTAATATTATTTTATTATATGTTTTCAATTTTCAAATTTTGATACAATTTATTGTATGTTTTCAATATTTTATTGAAGTACCGACTTTAATTTGTGGCTCGCATGTTTGGAAAATCCTAAATCTTCTAATAATAATATTATGATATTACAAAAAGGTGGACACATTACAAAGATGAGGAAATATTTTACATAATATTTGTTGACAGAACACATTAATGGATTTTGAGCTTATTGGACAACTTAAAACTTGAACAAATATTCAGTTCATTAAATTTATGACCCTAATTTAGATTTAGGTCCTGTTTGGGAGAAATTTTAATCAAAATTATAGCAATTAACTATCAAATCAGCCACCA